AATACTAGAGCCTCTAGATTCTTAATTACTAGTTCTAACTAATTCCAAGCTTTATAGTAGACTAATAATAATATCTAATTTAATAAAACTACTAAAGATTAAGTTAATATCTAGTTTAGTATTAGATCTATATCCTTTATTAGATCTATAATAGTAAGAATACTAATTAGGTAAGTATAATTCTATATTATATCTATAAAGATTCTATTTCTATTTAGCTTAGCTAATATAAATAAGCTAGAGGTCTATTTTAATAATCTTACTAATTATCTTATTACTTCTAATAAATGCTTTATACCTATAATATAATATTTTAGATACTCTTTTTTACTTTAAAATATTATTTTATAAAGCTTTATTTCTAAATCTTTTACTTATAATCCTTACTTTCTTATAGAGGTCAAATTATAATATCTATACTATTATTTTAGTTATTTATTTATTAGTAAGTTCCGAAATATACTAGAATAAGCAGGCTATAATATTAATATAGAAGCCCTTAAGTATCTTATAAAATATTATAAGTAATACCAGAAATTCGAATAATTACTAGAATAATTCAAGTTTAATCTAAGAGATAATATTAGCTTTAATTACTCTATTATTATTAATATTTTCTATATTTCTAGTAAGCCTATATTTTATATTATTAATAAAAGTACTTAATATTAAGCTAGCTAATAGCTTTAAAATATTAGTATATTATATACTTGGGATACCCTAAAATAATATTAGATTAATATTTATTTAGGCCTTCCCAATTAGATTATAATAGATATTAGAAAGCAGTTTACTAATAAGAAGTTTACTTAGCTTGCAAATACTATAGGAACTAAGATTAAAATTATTTCCGTAGAAGCTTATAATTCTATTAAAATTATAGAATACTACTATAGCCCGATTTAATATATTTATCTTATTATTATAGCCAAAATTAATAGAATTAATAAGGATACTATATTTTAAATAGCCTTTAAGGCTATTAATAATTCCGCTAGATCTAATAGTATTATTCTAATTCTTTTGGTTTATAGTACTTTACCTTAAATAACCGAATATAATATTCTATTACTAATTATATTATAGTAATTAATAATACTTAAGAAAGTAATAATAGAAATTCAGAAGCTTTGAGCTAGATACTAAATTACAAATACCCTAAATATCCGAAATAGTTCTAATATTACTAATATCTATAAATCTTTCTTAAATTCGGATATTCTCATATAATATAAAGGAAATACTAGTTAACCTAATAGTTGGGATAGGCTATATAAGCTAGTAGCTATTAACGGAAAGAACTATATACTAGCTCTATTATATAGTAATACTACCTTCTATTTAATCTCTATAAAGCCCTTTTATATAGGGGATATTAAGGTTATTACTAATAGTTCCGAACCTGAATCTATTTCCGAATTCCGTAATAAAGCCAAAGGTAATATAAGTATAATTCCTCTTGCTATTTCTGCTATTTTACTAAAGTATAGTAAAGAATGCCCTTATAAGAATCCGGATATTACGGTATTCCTATAGGATAATAACATATATAAGAACTTTTATTAAGTTAAAGTTATTAGCCTTCTAGAAAAGAATATATTTGAGGTTATTTCCAGATCTCAGATACTAAAGGAAATATATATCTTTAACTTCCGGTTTATTAATAAGATCAAGAATAAGAATATAGAAAGAGAGCTTAAGAAGTCAAGACTAGTTATTTAGACTTATAATAATAGTAAGAAATATATAGTATTAATATAATTACTTACTATTTAATATATTAGCTAGAGAATTATTTTTAGTATTACTACTATAATAATAAATATTACGGAGTTATATTTATATAATATCTCGTAAGCTTATATCTAATTAATAACCTTATTTAATTATAATTTTTATATTAACTTACCTTATAAGCTTACTAAAGAGCTAAATCTAAATAATAATTCGGTTCTAAAGGTTATAAAATTACTATATAGTATACCGGAAGCTAGAAACTACTAGTTTAAGACTTACTATTCCTATTATATTAATAAGCTTTCTATAAAATAATTAACTTATAACCCTTGCTTCCTCTATAGCAAGTAACCCTTCGGAATTATTAGTCTTTAAACTAATAATTTTATAAAGGCAAAGTAACTAAAGCTTTATAAGGCTAAGTTCTTGACTAAGAAGTATAAATACCTTACTATTAACTATAATCTCAAGTTTAATAAAGGTATTATCTATATAAATACTACTAGAATTACTCTTATATAAGAATACTAGTATAAAAACCTCTAAATTATTTCTATAAAAAATATTATTACTATAAGTAATAGGGGTACTATTTATTAAGATCTTTCTATTAAGGACTAATATATTACCTAATATACTAGAGAAATATATATTATATTAGTTTATTAACTAGAAGCTTTATATAATTTATTAATTACTATTTAAGCTATTAAATTCTCGGAAACTAATATAAAGGTACTTAATAAGCGCATTTAATAGCAAATTAAGAATACTACTAGAGGACTGAGATTTATAAAGCTAGTAAAGAAGTTCTTATATTTAATTATTTTTACGAATACTTTATTTATAAATAATAGAGATCTCTTCTCTCAAATCAGATATATTCTAGTTCTAGTAAATAGAACTAGATATACTAATATTATTTACTAGTTCTCTATTAAATACAAGAAAGCTACTAGAAGTATTCTAGCTTCGGAACTCTATAATATAGCTTACGGCTTTAATATAAGTACTTTAGTTAAATCTATAATTAATAAAATACTAGAAATGAAACTACTACTAGTAGTCTATACGGATTCGAAGTCATTATATAAATGCCTTATTAAATTGGGAACTACTCGAGAAAAGTATCTAATAATTACTATAATATGCCTTTACTAGATATATAAATAACGAGAGATTACAGAAGTTAAATAGATTAAGGAAGAATTGAATTCTGCTAATTCTATAATAAAATTAAAGCTAATAAATACCCTCAAGTATCTAGTTAATATAAATATCATATAATTAGATATAGAGAAATAGATTAAGTATAAATAGGGCAGGAAATAGATATATGAAATAAAAGGATATTATAAGAGGAGAAGTTATATATAAAGCAATAGCCTTTAGTATATAACCAAAACCTTAGAAGTAATATAGATATATAGAGCATTTGGGAAATCTGGTACTAGGCCGGATTAGGGAATTTATATATAATTAGAGAGAGATACTATTTTTCGTATTTTTAGAGAGTTTCTAGTATTAATATAGCTATTTCTTTAGGAATTATATATATAGTTACGGGATACGGGATACGAGATATAAGTAATGAGATATAAGTAATGGGATATGAAATACGGGATATAGTTATGTAACCTTATATCCTATTAGTAACTCGACTAGTAAACTAGATTTCTTTAGGCTTAGTAGATTTAGGAATTATATATTAATACTATAATACTATAATTCCTACTTCTAAATAATAACTTTACTAATCTTATATAAATAGTATTCTATAACTATATAATAGTACTATATATTACTAGTAAACTAATATTTAGCTTACTAGCTAAGCTTTATATTAATTAATTAAATTTATAAATATATTTATAATTTATAGCTTTTTTTCTAGAAAATAATAATACTAGTTTCTAAATATTAAAAACTTATAATTTAGTAAATTTTTTATTAATTAATTATTTTTAATAAACTTTATTAATAAAATTATTTATAGCTTTTATATAAGTTTTTAGAATTAAATACTTTATAATTACTATATTTATATAATATTTTAAAGGCCTTATAATTAAAAGTTTTTTTTAATTATAGAAATTAGTATTTCTTAAATTAATATTTCCTAAATCGGAATTTAAAGCCCTTATATTTACTTGAAATACTTTATTAAAAGTCAAGTAATAAAGAAATAAAAGCTAGAAAGTTATATATATTTTTAAAACCCTTATAATTATAAAAGCTTTAAGCTATTTTCTAATAAGTTTTATAGAATTAAATAAAATTATTTCCTTTTTTATAATCTCTTTATTTTAGTTCTATTTTAATTACTCATTTTTTTCCTATTTAGGCTTATATAGCTTATATTATTTTAATATAAATATATAGTTTATAAAATAGGCCTTAATAGCTATATTTTTTTTTTAAATAAGTTTCTTTAAATATATATATATATATATATTATATTTATATATTCTAAAATATTTAATATTAGAATATTTCCTATTATAGGCCTTTTTAGAAATATTTCTATTAGAGTCTATTAATATCTAATTTCGTAAATAATAGATTATAATTATAGCTTTTTTCTAGAATTATATAAAAAGCTTAATATTTAATAATATAACTCTAGTTATTAATATTAAACTCTAATTTAAATATTTAATAACTTTATTTTATTTAAGAATATAAATAGTAATATATTTAAATTATATACTATAATTATTTAGTAATAAAGCCCCTAAAAACTTATATTTTAAGATATTATTATAATATATAGCCTTAATTTTATACCCTAATTCTAGCTTTACTAGAGTTTTAAATTACAAAAATATAATTTTTTAGTTATTTTCTAATTTTAGTAAATAACCAAACGGCAAGCCTGCACCAGGAACCCGCGTTCTCGCATTGGGTAAGGTGTGTGCACGAGGCGCGCCGCCTTGGCAGAGTATGAGGATCGCGCGTCATCCTACAGTTTGCGTTCGCTGCTTTCTTCCATCCCTTTCTTTTCACACGAATTAACGACACGCTGCTCTGGATATCCGACTCGAAAAGTTTGCATTACTCCTCCTGCATGCACCTTGCGTTTGGTCCTTTTGCCCATCCTAGGTCCACCTGATTGGTCAGGCCGCAGCTAAGATTCATGCATCGAGCAGGATCCTCTAGAGAGTTCCTCTTTCTTCTAATCGCCGTAGACTCTTTGCGACTACGAGTACCTCAAGTCTCGGCCTTGTAGCGATCCCTCAGACGTTGAAACTTAGTCCTCGAAGATGGTATGCGTCATTTGCAACAGGTTCCAGGGCAGATGGAAAATTGGGAGCTCAACAGAATCCCAGAAACGACATGGAAACCGAAGCCACATCGTCCCCAGATTCACGTGGGATGAGATGCAGGCTTCGGCAAAGTCATGTTACTGCTGCAGCATCCTTGAATCTGGGTGCCGCGGGTGCTTTGATCAGCACGGGATCAAAGAGTCGGATATACTTCACGGAAGCCTCACATTCTTCTATCCACGTTCTACTGACACAGTGGATGAAGATGATGCGGGCAAGGAAATAGTCTTTCTGTTGGCAGATGGGCGACGTTTTGAAGTTGAACTATTTGCTTCCGAGAGCGATGATTGTCCCATTCCAGATTCATGGGACTACATACCCGTCTCAAGGAGAACGTCGCCCCGGACCGATTCTACGATAGCATTAGCTGCCATTAAGGCTTGGATCGGAGAATGCATCACCACCCACCACCCACCTGAAGGTTTATGTGGCTCTTCCAAGGGTTCGTATCTTCCAACACGAGTGGTAGACGTTGGCCTCGAGGACAGGACTGTGAAGCTGGTTGAACCGAAAGGGGCAAATGGCACTTACATCTGTCTCAGCCACTGCTGGGGGCACTCTGAAATCATTACAACTACCAAGTCGACATTTGAAGAACGCAAAAGGAGTATAGCCTGGGAAGAATTGTCGAACACTTTTCGGGATGCCATTTCCTTAACCAGGACACTCGGCTTCAAATACATTTGGATAGATTCTCTTTGCATCGTTCAAGATGATTCCAGAGATTGGGAGACTGAATCGGCTACAATGGCTTCCGTATACAGAAATAGTTATTTGACGATCGCCGCAACGCGTTCTGCCAACGGTCATGGCGGTCTTTTCTCGCGCACAGAAGATTTTGAGGTCTTCGGCAAGACTCCAGATGGGGAAGACTACTTTCTTTGCTTCCGAGAACGGATCGATCATCACATTGAGGTAGTTGGCTCAACCGACTCTACCATGCTGGATGAGATCGAGACCACGCCTAAGGCTTCGGGGCATTCGACTATGGCGTACCATCCTCTCCTGACCAGAGCATGGGTCTATCAAGAGCGCATGCTCTCGCCTCGTGTTCTCCACTTTGGCCAGTACGAAATCTTTTTCGAATGCAGATCAGCCATCCAGTGTGAATGTGGATCCATCCAATTTCACGGTTCAACTGGCGTATCCCCGAGGTCTTTGGTTAAAATTGAGTACGCCAATATACTCGGACTCTATGGTGAAGATTACGAGAAGCAATACCAAGCCGAGATCCAATACCAGGGCGCACGCTTGTGGCGTACTATGATCTGCTCATATGGGGCACTTCTATTAACGAAATCAAAAGATCGATTGCCTGCTATCGGAGGCTTGGCTAAAGAAATGGCTGATGTGAGGAAGTCGAGATACCTGGCCGGGCTTTGGGAAGATACACTTAACGACGATCTACTCTGGACAATTCGTACGACATCGAAGTATAAGAAACCAAGACCTTATCCTCGAAATGCTCCAACATGGTCTTGGCGAGCGTGGAGACGTGGCCCAGTTATTGGGACGAGATCCTCTTTTCCGTCGTGGAAGAGGATAGTTTCGAAGAACGATTACCTTATAAACATTTCAGCATGATCGAAAAATGTGAAGTCAGCTGGTCAGCGATCGACGAGTTCGGATCGATCGCTCACGGATCTCTCAAGATATCCGGTCTAGTAGCGAAGGGTATACTTGAACGCGAGGTAGAGATACACAACGACACAGAAAGTATCGTGCACTACGTATCTTTCCCAAACACGCGATTGGCTATGAAAACGGACTACCTTCTGGATCATGAAGGTCCCAGTCAGACGAGCCCCATGACCTCGGTCTTCTGTCTTCGCATGAGTCTTATACAAGAAGGTAATACAGACTACCTGATATCCCTTGTTTTGAAGAAGTCCCCTGGATTCCACAATTGTTTCGAGCGAATTGGTGCTCTGATAATCTCGGGTAGTCTACGCTCTGTAGATTCAAAAGGGGAAGTGTTTCGAACGGCAGATTTACAGACCGTACTCATCATTTAACTTTGCCCGCGTCTCGAATACTGTTTAACTATAGATTCCACTCAGTGTGTCAAATGATTAGATTAGATTAGATTAGATTAATGGGCATTAATCTAATCTAATCAAGGAAATTTACCATTAATCATATTCTAATCATAATCTAATCTGATTAATTTAATTAATGGAGCACGTGACTAGACACGTGATAGCGCTAGCCCTATCGGGAGCGCGCTTTACCGCATTAGGGCTACGGCCGCCTAGCGGCGGCCTGGGCCGCAGCTTACCAAGCTGTGAGGCACACAATAGCAGGGTGATGTACAAGTAGTCAAGGTAAGTAAGCTTTAGAGTGACGCTTGCAAGTGTAACTGATTTCCAAGAGTTGATTCTAACAAAAGACTAATTGATGCCCCTTTCCAAAGCTAGAAGCGTCTCCCTATATATTCCCTAGTGCTTAGCCAAGCGTGCGAAGCCCTTTACTTAATTAGGAAATGCGATCTTATGCAAGCTTTACCCAAAATAGGAAACTAGATCTATGATATCTAATACCTGTCCATATACTATTACGTGTGCCCCTCATAGATAATTAGTTTATTATTATAGAAAAGGAGTAATTAGTTAGTTCTTAGCTTAATTTAGATTTTTTTATTATAATATTATTAGTTAGTTATAAAGTTATTTAATAATTAATAAGTAAAAGTAAAGAAAAGTAAAAAAAGTCAAGAAACTCCGGTGTCACGTGATTAATCAAGCATTAATCAGATTAATCAAGATTAATTAATCTAATCTAATCAAAAAAAGTCTGAATCACGTTAATCATAATCTAATCACATTAATCAATTAATTAATCGATTAATTTGATTAACGTGATTAATCCTTTAATACACTGATTCCACCATTTGGCCTTAAACTAGAAGACCAACGATCAGTTTCTATAATGGAATTGAGTGTCTATAACGCCTATTTCTTCCCCTAACAATTCCCCAAATTTGAATCACGTGTAATTGCCTAATTGTTGCAGTAAATGCGGTTGTATTATAATATAATCGGATCTGGAAGGAAGAGAGGCATGGCGCGGAGGGCCAGAGCTTAATATTGAATTAGCTTAATAATAAAGCTAGGGTCACGTGCTTGCAATGTAAATCAAGTAAAACGTACTGAATTGACTACTGTTCTATAGTAGTAAGTAGCCTGTATATATAGCCCTGAACCCCCTAAGTCACATGTACTAAACCCCTAAACCAGAGAGCCTTATACTGAACCATTCAACCTTAGCTGAACCGATTTACCCTTACAGGGCATAATATACTCAGTAATAAGCCTATGGCTTAAGCCCCATTAGTATACAGCCCTTAAGGCTCTATTCCAGGGTTTACTAAGCCTATTAGGGGCCTGAGGCCCCTAATTTCAATACTTAAATACAGTAAGTGTGGTCACGTGAGGATAGGTCACGTGGCCAGCCTGCAGTTGCCTTGCAATACTGATACATTACTTAATCAGGCTCATAAGCATTGGGGCGGCTTGAGATTTTAATAACTCGGCTGCAGAAAACAGTAATTAAAACTTATTAAAGATAAGAGCCGGTTTACCGTTTAGTAATTAAAAAAAGTATTAATTCTCACTTCTTATATATATATTATATTACTATTATAGCTTAAAAATCTAATAAATATAGAGCTTTTACTAATTATTTAATTATATAATTATAATAATTATATTTACTTATATATGTTTTTATTTATTTCTTTTCTTATTATATTCTTAGTTTAAAATAATTAATTTTAAAGCTTTAATTTATATTTAATACTAAATTTTTATAATTAATAAATTACTATTAATAAAAGAAAGTCTAGCTATTAAGTAAGCTTTATTATAAGAATATTTAGCTTTTTAATTTAATTATATACTAATTAATATTATTATATTATTATAATTTTTAACTTCTTATTTAATAATTTCTTATATAATATAATATAAGGCATGTAATAGCAGGGTAATATATAAGTAGTTAAGGTAAGTAAGCTATAGAGTAATACTTATAAGTATAACTAATTCCAAGAATCGATTCTAATAAAAGACTAATTAATACCCCTTTCCAAAGCTAGGAGCGTCTCCCTATATATTCCCTAGTACTTAGCCAAGCCTGCAAAGCACTTTACTTAACTAGAAAATACAATCCCATATAATCCGTATAATTCCGATTGCCCGTATAATTCTGATTACAAGCTTTACCTAAAATAGGAAACTAGATCTATAATATCTAATACCTGTTTATATGCCATTATATATACCTATTATATTAATTCCCCCTCTGGGCCCTTATCCCCAAGAGGCCTAAGAGAACTGCAAATAGCTTTATAAATAATTCCCTGAAACCTTTCCGGCCATTGGTCCTCCCTAAAGACTCCCTATAATTGCCCTATTATTATGCTAGGTAATAGACTTAAGAATATAGTTTACTAACCCTGCCTAACTAATTCGCAAATTGCTTCTAGTAATTCCTTCTTATAAAGGTAGTACGAATATGGTATATACTATTAGGCAGAAAGCTCTTCCGGTCTTCTAATTAGTTTATAAATCCTAACTTAGCCTCTATTTATAAATAAATTATTACTCTATAGGCCTAAAAGCTTGGAAAAGTTAATCCGATCTTCTAGTTTATTTATAAATCCCTTTTTTGGAATTTTCTGAGTATTTCTAGTATAGAGCCGGTTCCGAATTTATAATTACTATTCGGAAAGAGGGTATTATAAAAAGGCCTCTTTTTTCCTACTAACTAACCTTTCTTTCCTTAACTATAATACTATACCTAGCTTCTTTTCGTCTCTTGCCTTTCTTCTTTAAGCCTTTTTTAAGCTTCTTTAAGCTTTATTTAAGCTTTATTTAAGCTTTATTTAAGTTTTCTTCTAATTTCCTCTTCTACTTCTTTATTTATTAAGATAAATACTTCTCTTAGTACTTATTAGCTTATTATTACCTGTTTAACTAATACTCTTATATCCTTAATTTGCCTTTACTATCTTTAATATTCTAAGAATATTACTAAGTTTCCCGACCTTATTTATATTAAAAGTAATAATTATTTAATATATAATTACTACTATTTCAAGAATAAGAAATATAATTCTATAAATTATAATTTCCTTTATTTATTTCCTATTCTAATACTATCTAAGGTTCTTTAAGTATATATAGTATAATTAAACTACTTTCTTTAAGCTATTAATATATATAAGCGTCTTTCTTATCTTTTACCTAAAAGAGAAAAGGCTATTACTATTCTTTTTCTATACTAAATAATATATATTTCTTATATTAAAGCTATTATTTAAGGCTAATAAATTCCCCTAATAATCTAAGAAATAGGTTAAGTAATTCTTACTAGCTTAGTATAAGTATAAAGTACTCTTAATAATATAATTAATATTTTTCGGTATTAAGTAAGCTTACTTTTTCCTTATTTCTTACTAATAACTAATAGTTTTATAAGCTAATTTACTATCTATTTCTTAAGAGAATTCTAATAAAAATAATAATAAGAATAATAGAGAATAGTTATAAGAATAGGGTATTTATAGGATATAGAAATTAGAGTTTTTAGAGTTCTTAATAATTTTTATATAGTTTTTCCAAAAATAAATATATAGTTTTTAATAGTTTCCTAATAAAAGTATTTATCTTTTATATCTCTATTTAGCTAATAGTATTATAATATTACTTTTTTTCAAGTATTCTTATAATTCTTAAGCTATATTCTTTAGATTACTTAGTAGTTCTTATATATTATTTACTAGTAAGTAGCTTTTCTAATAAATAATATTATGAGTACAAGATCTAGGGCCTAGAAGGCGTGGTTAGACTATCTCTATTTCGATAATTCAAAGCTAAAAAGAGAAGAGAATCCCGAAGGAGCCTCGGATCTAAATAATTGCAAGCTATATACGGGCCTATATACTAGCTTAAGCTCGGGGTTACGTATAATAATTAGGTAACTATAGATGCCTTACTTAGATACCAGATGCCTCTCTAGCTCTAGTCTAACCCCTACTAGTACCGTATATTATAATAACCGTAATATTATTTCCCCCCTTAAAGTAAGCTTGTCCCCGAGCTTTGAAAGTCTCTATTAAATTTCTAAGTTACAGGTTATATATTAAAGGCCAGGGCCTTTTATATATAATTTTAAAGGATTTCCGTCCGTATTATATGGTTCCGGTAATATATTATTCTTAGTATAGTCTAACTAATAGGAGAGATTCTAGAACGGTCCTAGCTATTCGGGATTCTTATTATAGAAGCTCTAAAAAGCTAGGGTACTATTACTTAATAAGAAAGCAGGATACTACTCCGGATCTGGATTCTATTCTTTCTACTAGACTCGGTACTTTAGTTTCCTATAAAGCAGTTTTACTACTTATATCTCTTGAACTTCGTATTCCGTTTCCCCGTCTTATAGTTCTAATAGTAGAGGCTCCGGATTTACTTATCCGGGAAGAGGGTTACCTGGGTCTTTATATAGCTTCTCTATATAGAATACCGGATATATTCTTATTAATTCCGGAAGCTTAAGCCTAAAGAAATATCTTACTTATTTCAGGATTTTATATAGTCTTTCTATTTAGTAAGCTAGCTTGTGGCTCGGATAATTATTCTTCTAGTACTTAGTAGTAATTCATACCTTGTCTCTTACTCCGAAGTCTACTAGTCGGCGGTATTTATTAGCTTAAGTAGTATAATATTCTTATACTTGTATTATATTCTCCTGTACCTTTTACTATAATTTATAGAGCCGTATTACTAGGGCCTTTGCCTCCTGTCTATTTAGCTCTTTCTTCGGAATACCTAATTATACTTGGGTTTCCTAGTTAAATAATATCCGTAGTTTATAGCCCTTCTTTATAAGAAACGGGGATTGGCCTATAGTCTTATAGACCAGAGCTGCCTGCTAGTAGTTAATTATTACTACCT